GCTTGCAAATCATCAGCCCTCTAAGTACTTGCTTTTTTGTAAAAACTACTAGTGTAGTTCTTGGACGTTCTTGTGAACAGATGTGAAGCCACAACAAAAGATAGGGGAATTGAAACGACGGATCTGTGAAGCTGAGAGTTTTCCTGAGGAACCGTATCACCTGAAAAATGCCTTCAAAGGGAATGGGTACAGCAAAGGCCAACAAAAATCGTCAGAGAAAGTGTAAGGTCAGCTAAGGACCCACAGAACCTTTAGCAACATCCGGGGTATTCAGGATTCTTTGTAGCTGCGGGTCGGTCTACATTGGAACCACGAAAAGAAGTATAGGTACTGGTCTCTCTGAAAACAAGAGAAACTGTCAACTCGGACAAACCGATAAATCAGCTGTAGTCGAACATGATCTTAACAACGAAGGCACTCACATTATCTCAATCGAAGGTACAGTAACACTTGATAAAACTCAAAATTACTATCCAAGAGTGAGTAGAGAGGCAATAGAAATTCAAACACAGGGATAAGTTCAATAGAAAAAAAAGCAATGAACACCAATTAAATATGGCTACCTGTCCTACAACTCCAGCGCCAATGCGGGCTCTGCGACCGATACCACGTCACATTCGATATCTACCGCAGTGGTAGACGAAACGTCAGGCATAAAACATTCAGGCCACGGCCAAAAACCCGGAAAATGGCTTACACGCAGTCACAATTGTGTTTGCCAAATGATAGGTTGTTTTTTAGCCTGAGTGCTTAATTTTACTCATTGAATAGCTATTGTGAATGCAAAATCGAGCCGTACTGGAGGACAATGGATGTCCACTGTGTATTGTTTGATTTGTATTAGGAGTCACATGTTAAAAAGTAAGACCTGGTTGATCCTTCAACCTTAGCTCGCACAAGTTTTGAGGGTTGTAATTTGTATGGAGGCGGGTGGGTAGTAAAAACACTCGGCCGAAATATCTCAGGCAGATATTCTCTTCAATCCTGATTTACTGCTCCTAATTTGCTTCACTTTTCTGAAGTTCGATTGCAATATATAGCAGAACAAAATTTATGAGTAATTTTCGAATACATACATATTTTGATCATCGCAAAAGCACGCCAGTTTCAATTTTCTGAAAAAAAAAGGACTTAATCTTGATATTTTCATGAAGCACCAGATTACTATTGATTTAATACTGGAGCACCTTTTTGGATGTCCGTAGGTACCTCTTTCATAAAGACTCTGCGGCTTATAAGCAGTACCGGCAATTGATCGAACAATTCAAACGAGAAAATGAGATGAGAAATATGGCGGAAGAGAGAAAACCTAAACTCGAAGAAGTGTACGAACCAGAAATGGCTTTAGAAGATTGTGAAAATGCGATCGCTAGTGGAGATTCGAATATCAAAAAGGAAAATGAGGTGAAAATTAAATTTCTTGCGTTCCCTTTTCTGGGTTGGGAAAGAAATTTTTGGCCTTCTACTTCTCTACACACAAAAAATGTGGGTATCTTTCATATAAAGGAAGAAAGCAATCAATTTCAAAAAATAAACTCTACAAAGATGTTGTAGATCATGCAAAGAAGTAACTTTCAGACACACACTGGAAGAAAAAGCCCCCCTGAAACAGCTACTTTCATATANCCGTATAAAATACAGCTCCTGCAAGAACTGAAGCCGAATGATCTGCCACAACGTCGAATTTTCAGTGAATGGGCCCTAGAAAAGTTGGCAGAAAATCCGCTTTTTTATCGACAAATTTTGTTCAGCGATGAGGCTCATTTCTGGTTGAATGGCTACGTAAATAAGCAAAATTGCCGCATTTGGAGTGAAGAGCAACCAGAAGCCGTTCAAGAACTGCCCATGCATCCCGAAAAATGCACTGTTTGGTGTGGTTTGTACGCTGGTGGAATCATTGGACCGTATTTTTTCAAAGATGCTGTTGGACGCAACGTTACGGTGAATGGCGATCGCTATCGTTCGATGCTAACAAACTTTTTGTTGCCAAAAATGGAAGAACTGAACTTGGTTGACATGTGGTTTCAACAAGATGGCGCTACATGCCACACAGCTCGCGATTCTATGGCCATTTTGAGGGAAAACTTCGGAGAACAATTCATCTCAAGAAATGGACCGGTAAGTTGGCCACCAAGATCATGCGATTTGACGCCTTTAGACTATTTTTTGTGGGGCTACGTCAAGTCTAAAGTCTACAGAAATAAGCCAGCAACTATTCCAGCTTTGGAAGACAACATTTCCGAAGAAATTCGGGCTATTCCGGCCGAAATGCTCGAAAAAGTTGCCCAAAATTGGACTTTCCGAATGGACCACCTAAGACGCAGCCGCGGTCAACATTTAAATGAAATTATCTTCAAAAAGTAAATGTCATGGACCAATCTAACGTTTCAAATAAAGAACCGATAAGATTTTGCAAATTTTATGCGTTTTATTTTTTTAAAAAAGTTCTCAAGCTCTTAAAAAATCACCCGTTACTATGTAGATATTCTATCTATTATGTAGATATTCCTTTTTTCTTTTCAGGTCAAACTCCTGTGATGTTATCTAAACTGACCCGTAATGACCCTGGCTTACTTCAGTATGCAGTTAATACCTATGGAACTACGAATCTCTCAGAGGAGGACTGGAAAAAAGCCGAAGATCACTACAAAATTAGTTTGCTGTATCAGGATATGGTGAAGAAACGAGCAGAGGCTGAAAAGCTAAAGTTAGCTGGCAAGAATAAGTATGATTATGATTCGGATGAAGAAACTGAAGGTGGCACTTGGGAACATAAAATCCGAGAAAAGGTAATAAGAAAAGGTGTCCTGCTGAATATTAAGTTAATTTCAACAGAATTCAAAATGGCTGCAACGAGGAGAGATTTATATGTGAAAGAAAATAAATATTTTGAAACGGAGTCCAGAAAGATTCATCTCTCCTAGCTGGAAAACAACTACTTCTATGCCTAATA